GGCACAAGGAAATATTTTTACCGGCAAAAGGTTTTAGCTAAAATCCTCAAAAATATCTCACAGATAGACCGATATTTACGGTAAAAAGGTTGGCCATTGGTACTAAGGCCTTCATATCAGTATCTGGCAGCTTGAGAAGTTATAGTCCGATTTCGACTATTTTTAGTCCTAGTTTGGTACACCTTAAAGATAGCATTTTTTGCTCGTTTTATTTCGCTAACATCATTAGCTCTCGATTTATATACCGTAAAGTGCAAGGATCAGAGGGAATTTTAACATTCGTTCACAACGTTACACAGGTTCGATTGCGCCTATTTTCACAGTGTAGTCAATATTCGAAATGAGGATAACCAATGAGCACGTGTACCAAGTTTCTCCTCAATATCTCAATTTTTACTCAAATTATCGCTTGCATGGACGAACGGATAACTATTTATCTGTCTCGCTTAAGTTAGGTGTTACAAATAATAAATAATAAAAAAATGTGTATTTAACTTAAGTACACTTATCTGTTTGTGCTCACACATTCCTTAGCAACGCCAAAGAAAAAATGTATATACATTGACATTTAACCAACAACAGCCGCAATATTTACAAATTCCAACCAACAACAATAACGATAAAATTTGTGGAACAGCAAGACAACCACTTTAAAACAACCCAATCACTTTACAACAACTTAACCACACTTACAACCCTTACTAACTCAAACGCACACACAGACAGGTACTTGCCACACTAATTAACACCTTCAATCTGCAGTAAAATGTGTGAAAACTTTTAATGCTTGCAAATTTTCAACGCTTAAAATTGACACGGACTTTAGCAAAGACAAGCAATGGACAAGAACTTACAGCGGTGTTGAAGAGGCTTGTGGGGAGGAGGTGTAATTAAATTACTATAACAGCAGGCGTTGCAATAACCGGAAGTAAGCAGCTTAAGCGAACAAGGTAAATAGTATAGAAGCTGCTAGTAAGACAACAAATCGCTTCCAGACCGCAACGGAGTAGTTGAGTGATGTTGCGTATACGCCGTGGCATACACACCTGAGCTGCGTATGGAATTTGTGTGCGTTTCGTTGGTTAACAAAGTGTCACACTGCGGTTTGTGGCGCTACGAAGCGGCAAATTATGCACGCAAATGAAAGCGTTAAACGAATTTATGCGATAATTTTGAAAAAGCGTTTGGGTTTTAGGAAAATTCGGTGGTTTTGCCACAAGTACATATAGTGCAAGGTTTAAAGAAAAAGAACGAAGGAAGAAAGCAGACGGCGAAAGAAGGCAGTTAGCTAAGCAAATACTTAACAAATTACAGCAATTCTTGTATTCTAACGAAGTTATGTTTAGAAATATATCTAAGCTACACAATTATTTGGCTTAAATAATGCGTGCGTTTGTGTTAACCACATTACTAACAAGCTTTTGCGGTTTATCGCGTACACACACACGTTGAACACATGTCGCTTGCGTTTATTTAACTTATTTGATTTTTGTAGTAAATTTGCTTGCGGTTATGTAAGCACGGTTGCTTTTTGCGGCAAGAATATAGTTTAATTAGCAGTTTGTGCTAATTGTATGTCCTTACGGCTCTCCCAGCATCCATAATTAAATGAAGGGATCAGTCGATTTAGCCATGTTCGTCTGTCTGTTTGTATATATGCGAGAGTTTGTGCATATACTGAGTGCTTAGCGGTTTATGGGATATAGATGGATCTTAAATTTTGGCAACGCTCTTTTCTTTCAAAGCTTATAGCTGCCATACAAGCTGAGCGATCAAATACATGTCCTTGTATGGAAACCTTTTTTATTGGACAAGATATCTTTACAAAAAATGGCATGAATTATTGCTGAAAGAAATGGTATAATCTCCACAGAAATTGTTCAAATCGATTCACTAAAGCATATAGCTGCCATACAAACTGAATATTCAAAATATAGTCCTTGCAATTAAAACATTTTTTTTTTATTTGACAAGATATCCTCACGAAATTTATCATGGACTTTTGCCCAGAATAACTATATAGTCTCAGAAGAAATTTTTCAGATCGCTTCACTATAGCATATAGCTGTCATACAAACTGAACGAACAAAGTCAAAATAATTTCCTTTTTATGCCCTCTTTAGGCTATAAAAATTGCACCCGTGAAGGATGTTATAGCTTCGGTGCAGCCGAAGTCAACGTTTTCCTCGCTACTTGTTTTCTTTTTTAATCTTTGCGGTAATTACCTTCATATATGTTCCTATTTATTTTTTCCAAATCCCATTTGCTTTCCATTACCAAATCCAATATCCAATTTTTTACACCACATATGGTCTGCAGCTCAAGACCAATTTCATTCACGTACCGCTTCGCTCTCCACAACGGACTTTTAAGCTCAAATGTCAGCCAATCGACTTTCAGCTAGCTATACAGACACTACAGCAGTAGTGTTGTGCCACAGAAAGCTGCAAGTGAACTAATTGACTGTTAAAATAAAGTCGCAAATCGTTGAAAATAAAGAAGAGAAATTCACTGTCTAGCAATGTGGACGAAAAAATTCGAAAACTGATATGCATAGAAATAATCGTATGTGGCAAAAATGTGGAAAGGGGAGCTAAAAATTCTATATGTTAGTATGTGCGTATATATGTAAAACGATTTTCTTGCATATAAATGTGCATGTGTGCATGTAGAGGGCTTGAGCAATCGAATGTTGAAGGGATTCCAGCAAGCACACGCTGCAGTTGAGGATATAAATAGCCCGATATTTATTTTGAATATATAGAAGTGCTTAGATTTGCCAACCCCAGCACACCTTGTAGCTTAGAGCAGCGTCACGAAGTCATTTAGATAGCTATATTCAAACATACATACACAGAAACACTTACACACTCAACGTAGCAAACGCCACCAATAAAATCCCCCAACGTCCTTTCATTGCAACAGCAAACTGATTGGTTAACTGACAACTGTAAAAGTCCATTTGTATATAAATTTGTAAGCATCGAGTTGTCAGCTTGTGCATGTGTGCTTGTATGTGTGTGGTGTTGCATGTGGCCACTGAGGTTTTGTTCAAAGGATTAGTGTGACTTTATCACGCGTTGCTCTTCCGCTCGTTTAATATGCTTTGATAGCAAATTTAGTGTAGGATTTCGTGAATGAGATTAGTTGGCGGAGCATATACTCGCAGCACAGCATGGAACAGAGCAGAAAATGTGAGATAGCCAAATGAAAGTGTTATATATTGTATATACACAGTTAGTAAGTGCATACACCAGATGGTTGCAAGGAAACAGCAAGGGTTTAATGGAATTTAATTTAATTAAATGAAATATTGAATTAATTTCAACTCTGGATAGTGCTTTGATGTTAAGGAATAATATTATTTGAACTTTTAATATAAAAATATATGAAATGGAACGCTTTTGGGCTATTATAGCGTTAGCTCATTTTCATTGAAGTTTTGGCAGTTTTACGTCATTTAATTTGTGCTATTTATACAAATGAAATAAGACGAATAAATTTTGAAACAACCTGAACTTCGTTTGCACCGAAGCTTTTATATATACCATTAACAAATAAAAAAGTATACCACACAAAAACTTGTTCAGTATCGGTCAGTTTGTATGACAGCTATATCCTGTAGTGGTTCAAGCTGAACAATGTATTTGGTTGTTATTCCATTTTTTTAGACAATAATCTATACCATATTTCTTGAAGATATCTTGTCAAATAAAAAAGTTTTTCATACAAACACATGATTTTGTTATATAGATCCAAACTAAAAAGTTAAAGTGTATAATTCTCTTAGGCAATAAATCCTGTCAAATTTCGTGAAAATTTCCGACCATTTTACAAGCAGCGAGATACTTATACCAATACCATTATACGCAGTGTGAAATAATGTAATATTTTAACTTTTAAAAGTTAAACTCAAACCCTGTTCACCAAAGAGCTTTGGCCATTGCTGCAGCTTCTTTATAAAGAAGATTTTCACTACGTCAAATTTAATGACAGTTTTAGTCAAACCTATGGAAATGAATAAAAATATTATTTTTTTTAATAATTAATAACAAGGCTTTCCGATTCAGATTTCTAATCTATCAAACAAATTTAATTTGTGCTTGTCTATCGAGTTTGTGTGAAATGTTGGCCCAATTGAAACTGACAACTCTTTTTGTGACAAATTAGCAAACTTGTGTTATATGTTAAATTTTTTATTCATCAGTCAAATTAATATAAAATCTCACTACTATGAAAATTAACAACTTATTGCCAAAGAAACAATTTTTTTTTCAAATAAGTGGATATACACTACTACCTATCAAAATTTTGCTTTTTCAAATTAGTGTCATTAAATTTGACACACTGTAAACCACGTTACAGTCTAATACTTACAGTTTAATTATTCACCTGACATAACAAATGTGTATTAAATATTCCTTATTCATAAGAACATCTAACTAATATATTTTGAGAGATATTTCTATCAAAACGCCATATTTAGCAAAATATTTTATTTTATGACATGAATATTTTAACGATATACCAACTTAATGGAATGGTGAAATATGAAATATAAATAATATTATGAACTCAAATAAGCTACGGTGAGTTCTTCGGAGCAAGTTTAGTTATTGTGTTTTATGAGTAGGAACTCGCTCTTAACAAGCTTTAAAGTTCCTTCGAACGAAATCGGTTAAGCCTGGCAATATTATGCTACATATCGACAGATGAATAACTTTCAGAATCAGTTTGGTTCCCTTAAATATTACTATACCATTTTAGCTTATAACCATAAGGTTATTTTTTTGTTTTTTTTTTTGTTAAAGAAAATTTTTAAATTAAAAATGTGCAGAAGTAAGAGGCTTTGTTGGTTTCTTAGAGAATATGAATTTTATTCCAGCATATTAAAAAGGCATTAGATTGCATGATTTTAAATATATTATGTGTGTATTGATTTTTTATTGATATTTTGAAATTCTAATGAATAATATTTTTTTCCCCCTACTTCATTACAGTTGGACTGCAAAAACTGTAAATACGATGCTTTAATTACGGAAACAAATCTGAGCAGTGGTTACGATTACAGCAATAGCGGTAATATGGGCGATCCGGTAGATGGTGAGTTTATGAACAAATCTATTTAACAATTTCCAGTAGATCACGTGCTAACTCGTAAATGAACACCAATTATATTACACAATTCAGAAATAATCTCTCAATACTTATACTCAAGCAGAAACCAACAAAATTGCGGAAAAGCTATTAGTTTAAGATATTAGCAAAAAAAGTTTTTTTCAGTATTTCAAAACTGTTTGTACCACGAAAATCTAACTGTTACTGTGTTGGAAAGAAAATGCAAGGAAATCAAAGCACGCTTGATTGCTCGGTACCAGAACAAAATTTGCTTCAAAGTTTACCTCACACAAATTAGTGTGAGTATAGCGCCACCTATCGGATCAACCATTTAACTTGCATTTATATTTTCGAAACTCTTGAGTTTTTTAATTAAATTCTCTCTATATGTATGGAGGAAAAATGTAAGGAAATCAAAGCAAGCTTGATTGGTCGGTACTAGAACAAAGTTTATTTCAAACAGTTTATAGTCAATATTGCGCCACCTATTGGGCCAACCATACAGCTGGCATAGAGCTTTTCTAAATTCTTACTTTTCTAACTATCTACCTAGAGTTAAAAACGACACGAATCATGAATACTTTTTTAATATAAAAAGCTTTGAATTCAAAAATTGTCTATGAGTCACTTACATACTTTAAAGTCTTAAGAAAGTTAGGAATAAATAGACCTCTTAAATGAGACGAATGAAAACCAAAAACTCCAGATTTCATCGATGTTTAAAATGACTGCATATTAGACATGAATACCGACCAACACAACCGATCGATTATAAAATGGCTTTTCTAACACTTTAGTCTCGTTTTGTTTATCGGTAATATTTATATATACCTCGAATATACCAAATACCAGAACATAAACGCCACCTAGCGGAACAATTTTTTCAAGTCCATATTAGTATTTCCATTTTTCTTACTAATACGGCATATAGGTTAAAAATAAGGTAAGTTGGACTCTAAGTACCTTTATTTTATGATATTTGGAGTACAGCGTCATCTGTCTAGCAAAAGATTTAATATTATACTCGAATGAATGGTATGGCAGCACTTAGGTGATGATTTCGCATATAAACAAAATTAGTTTCTGCATATTAAATATCAACGTAAAGATCACGGTGTGTTCGGTTTTCACCTGAAAGTTATATTTCGAAGCGCTCGAGCTCCTTTATGCCTCTAAACTGCTTGAAAATTTATTTCTACTGCATTTTTCTCACACATTTTCTCTCACTTGTTATGCACTCAAGTTCCAGCGACTTTTTTAAAAATTTACATTTGGCTCTCGACTCTATGCTTTTAGACTCCTGTCGCCTGCTGCACAACTCACCGGCGAAATTAAATCAAAACCAAATGTTGACGGGAGCGAAAATCAATGCGCACTACTATCAACAGCAGCAGCAGCAGCAGCAACCACAGCTACAGCAACAGCAACAACGACCCGATGTTATGCTAATGGCAACAACAGCAACGGCAGCACCGAAATCAATACAACAACAATATCAGCAACTTTATAGCCGCTCGGCCACACCGTCACCGCAACATTTCCAACAGCAACAGCAACAACCACAATCGCAACAACAACATACCATGCAAACATTCCACATCGTATCGGCCGGTTCATCGCCCACACAACAAGGCCAACAACAACAACTGCAAACAATGCCAACATTGCGTCAGTACGCAACACTGCAAACGCACCAACATAAACCACAACAACAACAACAGTATGTTGCTGTGCCCAGCGGTGCGTTGGTGCGCTTTCAAACAACAACAACAACACCGGCTGCAACAGGAATCGCCTCAGCGCTGAGTGGCAGTGGCAATAATTGCACAACCGACGGCAATGGCAACGTCGGCATCGGTGTAGGTGCAACACTCATCGCCACCGGCATGTCGGGCAATTGTTATCAATCGGCGAATGTGTCAGTGCCCGGTGGAGGCACAGCGACGGCCACAATTTACTTTCCAATTGCCACAGCAGCGCATCCACAACAACAACAACAGCAGCAGCAGCCATCGAGCTATACGTCCGTTGCTACAGCAGCAGCAACAACAGCAAACAATGACGCTACAATAGCAACAACAATGAGTGGCGCTGGCTTGGGATCGGTCAGCAGCTCGGCAACCACAACACAATTGCTTTGCAATCAGCCGATTGTGAAATATCACACCATACAACTAACGCATGCTACGAGCAAACAACAACAACAACAGCAACCCGCTTTGTTGGGCAGCGCCGCTGATGTGATGCCACTGCCGCCACCGCCAGCATACCAAACGGCAACGGTGCACGGTAAGTAAGCAAATGCAAAGAATTAAAAGCGATTTGCTTGAAAATCAAATGGCAACCCTTCAATACTCTTTGTTGAATTTAAAAGACGCTTGAATTTTTAATAAAATTAAATGCAACATAACCATAAATAATACTTAGTAATACCAAATATATTGTAGTGTTTCTAGGAATTAAAAAATTTAAACAGGTAGCAACACTTCATAAATTTTTTTTAGTATGTCAATCTAAACTTTTTAATTTGATATACAAATTTTAATAACTAGTTTACCTTATAATTTTTTAAAATTAAAATTAGTAAACATATGGCAACCGCATACAATAATATTTCAAACAAAATAAATTAACTCTTTAGTTAATTATATATAAAGTTATTACCCTATTGTAATATTGTAATATTATATTTATTATATCATTTCAGTTTGTTGAAAGTTTTACAAAGGTGGCAACACTTTTAAAAACATTTTTAAAATCAAGTATACTCAGCTGGATACCCAGATTATAATAATTAGTTTTTTTTTTGTAATTAAAATTTGTGAACAGTTGGCAACCCCCCTAAAAATTTCCCAAAATATCTAATAAGAACTTTTTAGTTTATCCCCTCAATAGAAATTTTGAATTTATTTTTTAATTTGTTTTAACTTATTTTCTTTATATATGGTACTTGTAAGTAGGTGGCAAGGCTACTCAAAACATTTCTAAAGTAAACATTAGTAAATTAAGAACCTTGAACAGCTCCAGCATTAGGTTTATGTAGCTCTCGTGAGTTTGGCAAGCGCTGGTCAACTAACAAAACTTAAACGGTTGCAAGATCCTTCTGACTGTGGAATGCAAAAGGTTCTCTAAACTACTTGCCCATCCCAAGGCTCATTTTGCCAGAATAGGTCCTCTGACTGCGCTCTATCCAATTGCCTCATATGCGATGAGACTACATATCTGTCGGATGTTAATTTGCAAAGCTTTATGAATAAAGGCGTGATGAAATTTTCAAAGCAGTTTCTTCTCAACTATACAGCTTTTGCCAGCTTGAGTTTGAAACAGCTCGGTAAGCACACTTAAAGCAGGGAGAAGTGGCTGGGAGCCGATATTATTCTAGGTAAGCTTAAAGTACTTGGTCGATCTATAAGAGGAAATTTGGACTAAAGTGCTCGAGGCAGTTGAAATACTTTACTAAAATATATTTCATTTAGCGCGCGTGAGCTAATGAGAAATTAAATGTCGGTAGCAAAGTCCATTTCTCTATTAAATTCTACTCCCTATTGATTTTTGAAATATTCCGACATTCGATGTATTGTCTCATTATCCTCAAGTAATATTTTATTTGCTAGCTTTTTTAGAATATAAACTCTTATCTCATCCCAAAGCGGCTTATTGCTGCTCCATCAAATACTTTGAAAATAATTTGCTTATTGGTTTTGCTCTCTGCTTATAAACTCTCTGCTTACAGACTTTATACTCTCAAACTCTCTCCCAATCAACTCAACTTCCGCCCACAAGTTCGCAGTGTTTTTGATAAACTTTCTTAAATTTCCCAACAATTTCCAAGCAGCTACTATCTTCTCCACTTGACGCAACCATTAAATCTGGAAATCCACTTTCGTTGCTTGCGCAAACTTTCACTCATTTTAAATCAACTAAAAACTTTGACGTGCCAAACGCAGCCAACCAGGACAACCTAACTAACCGAACAAGCAAATAAAGCAACAATGCGCTGGAAAGCAAACAAAGAAAAAAAAAATAAAAAAACCAAAAACATTTCTTATGCTAACGGTAACTATTCAAGAGCAACAAGCAAATAGTGAAATTAGTTTGCTCCCGAACTGCAAACACGCTCGGCCTCATAAAGTTAAACCTTTCACTTGAATAACTCATTTACTTTCACATTTACTTATGTGTATGTACGCGTTTGTTTGTGTGTGTGTGGCTACCACATTGCTGCACTTTAATTGCATTTTGCTTTCAACTTAAAGTTGCACAACCTAAAACCGTACAGCAATAGCAACAACAATAACAACAACGACAACAACAAAGCAAAGTTTATGCATTGCTGCAACATCATCTCACCATTGGCTGGTGGTCTTGGCGGTGTGGCGAGCAGCAAAACTTTTCCAAGTTGACTTTCATTAGTGGTTTGTGGCAGTGAGTGCAAATGCGGGCCATTGGCAAGCGGCCAGACTGGAAGGCGCCTCAAATACACACACACACATCTCAACTGTATGTGTTTTTGTGTATGTGTCTTTGCAACGTCAATGCAACACTGCATTTTGACACTACACTCTCCTATATGGGTGAGAAAAACTTTGCATGCCACACTTCTGTGGCAATTGAAATTTAAGCTCAACCTTCCTTTGGTGACAGCTATGCAAACTGCAGAAAAAACACGTTGTTGTTTTTGTTGTTATGTGTTTGTTAGAAATCTGACGGCCACTGCCTGTCCGAAAGTTAGGCCGCAACACTGATGCAGCTATTTACCGAGTTGTCACCGAGCAACCAAATATTCACACTTGCTGGTTTTTGATGGCCGCAGGCGGGTGGATGTCAGTTGATTAAAACAAAAAAAAATTAAAAATTACAAATAATAAGCTCATCTGTGAGCTTCAAGAGTTTATATACAGTGGCTTTAAAATGACAACATTCAAACCAAAATATCGTTTAAAGCGCAGCTTAGGAGAAAGCCTGTTCCCACGACAGTCGGGTCTTTGGAATCGGAACGAACCCGGATTTATTCCGGCCAAGGACTGTCAACTCGGCAAAATTCTGCCGCTACAACAACAACAACAACAGAAAGCCTGGTGGAGGAGTACATATTACGAAGCACATATTCAACTCAAGTTTCAGATTTTCTGACCACTACAACGGCCTTCAAGCAGTGGGAGCTATAACTTATCGCAGTGGAGCGACCTTCGGAGAGTTACGCAGTCATTCGATAGCAGAGACGGAATAATGTTCTGAAATCGCTGACTATGCTCTCAATATTAATTACTTCCAGCTTTCTCGCCACAACACTTATTTGAGTGCCTGATCAAGATCATAGATAACTGTAAGGCTATTCAGCTTGCAAGTGAAGGTAATTGCTTTCCAATGTCATCTGACTACCTCGGTCAAAATTCTTCTCCATGTAAACTAGTCAACCACTAACAATTGCGTAGTTACCAAACCAGGTTATATCGGCATTTCATCTACACTCTCTTTCTCTCAGCAAAGCTTAACTTGCTCTGGTTATACATAATCTAATGGGAATATGCGCGTCGAGGTAAACATTTTATTGACTTCCTTCTGTACTGGCTAATTTCTGTAATGAATGATCTTGAACCGCATGTGATTAGTCATTCAGGCGAACTCAATACTCTTTGCAAATGTATGAGAGAGTTTGATCAATCTTTAGGAGCTTTTATGAAGCAGTCCGGGTCAAATTTGGTCAGATGTTATATCTTCCACTCTCTCTGTTTAGTATTTAGATACATGACGAATGTCACATCTTGTCTTCAATTCATACATAATTTTTGATTGTGAAGTACAAAGAATTTCGAGTCATCTTAAGCCCAGCTATTGTTATTACTATTTCCAAAGAGCCGACTAATTAAAGCATTCTAATTAGAAACTGCTGAGTTGCTTTATTGATCTGTGAATGCATTTATTAAATATTACACTAAATGTAAGTGCGGAGAACTTGAGAACAAATTTAAGAAAATACAATCTTAACTGCTCTCCGAAACACGCTTTTCAGCAGTTATTCAGCACATCAAATCAATAACAGTATTTACTTATGTAAGCATATTAGCATCAATTCAGCTATTAGTGCTAGCCCCACTTACGGAATTTTAATTGCATTTAACGTACACCGTTATCGCTAACTTGCAATATGGCAACTGCTCCTTGCGGTGCATTGCTGTACCGTTAGTTGCCTGTCATAGCTGTTTGCGAGGCGTTGACAACATAGCAAATGTTGTGCAATAGGCTCAGCCAAGCGACATAATTCACAGCATTATTTCCAGCTGTTGCTGACTTGCATGTCATGAGCCTGCACTGTGCTTTTGCTGCCACCCTTTGGTTATATGCTTCGGCAGTCGCTTGTTTGTCACGCTGTCAGCTGCTTGTGATTTCACATCGTTTGCATGGCTTACAGTGTTGGCGATTGAAGGTTGGGAAGATTTTTATAATGTGTATAAGCGCATATAGGAAGTAATACTATTGCCCCAATTATAATTTGTGCTTATAACGATGTCAACTTATTTAGCTGAGTGTATTTAAGTCACAAAAACTTCAATGTTATATAATATTGTTAATATATGTATATTCAGCGCATTGTTTGTATATTAACTAATGCTACCTAACTATAAGTGTGCTTTACAACGCAAATATGTGCTGAATGTAGCTGAATAAGGCAGAATTTCATAACTAAGACGCTGAATGTGCTGAATAAAGATTAAGATTATTCAGCACAGTTTTTTTTAATATGGTTGGACTACGCTAACATGTTGGCGTACTTGACGAAACAAATATGTTAGCTGAATTGCGCTGAATGTGTCTAAATGAAGCTCAGTTGTAGTTATTGAGGTTTGTTAAAATAATTTTCCTGTAAACTATTATTTGAAGCTGAATGTGGCTCAACTAAACAACTAACTCTGAATAGCCTGTAATAAAATGTCTTCTCAAGGAAACAATGATATTAACTGAGTTTAATTTATCACCGATATCTGCTGAACTGCGCTGAATGTCGATTAACATTAAACAGCTGCTAAAAAATTGAATATTTAACAATTAAAAAAACAACGAAATCAGCTGAATAACGCTAGTGTAATAAAAATCTAAAAATAAGTTCCATATTATGAAAATATTTTCGTAAGCCCTAAATATACATAATTGATTAGTTTTTATGTGACGAACTCTAACCACAACTTATTTATTGAGAATACTTTACTAAGCTGTATATAAAATATTGTAAACAGATATGAAATATGTATTTTATATGCAGCTGAATACATTTAAAGCGAGCTGAATTAAGCTTAAATTCACTACTTAAGCTATTTATATCAGAAGGCAGTACTTCGGGCACTTTCAGCCAAATACAGCTCGTTGAACACATAAAGTTGACATTTTGAGAAATTAACAACGTACGATCACCTCAAACGCACTCCATCGATTTAATTAACAATCTACCACATTGTGACACCGTAAATTGGTGCCCTTTAACACACAACTTGAGTAAATTGCTAAACTCAAACACAACTCAACGGAGGCAGGCAAAGACCAACGACCAACACAGCCAGGTGAAATGCGACACTGTAAAGAACAAGCTGTAAACAAACACACATAAGTGTACAGAGGCTTTAGCCTATTGTAAAGCGTTGTACAACAAGCATTACCGTTAAAATACGGTAATCAATCACTTCATTTAATTTAGGGCTTAAATTGTAACAGCTGGGATGAGAAGTGGAAAGAGAGAAGCCGATTGACTTAAATAAGTGCCTGGTCTTGCAATGGGGCAACATTTTCGGGTGCTTATGCGTAAGTCTACTAGCGCTAAGTTAAGGAATTTAAACGCTTCCGAAGCACTTAGTCACATGGAACAGATGCAAAGCTGTAAAAGCGAGATGGATATAGTGATAAACACTTTGACTTAGGGTGACGAAAAAATAAAAGCAAAAACAATTATATAAAATGCTGACATTCAATATAAAAGTTAAACACACTCACACTTCTGGCTCTACTAGGATATCATATGCGCTTCAAATATTATGGCGCCATCAGACGTGTGCCACATTTTGTTTATTGATGATGACAATGACGCTTTGTGGCACGTACGTGTGAGAGATGAATGAGCCTCATGGCGCTATGCTTTATTGTTTTCCATCTTAATATATTTTACAGGTGGAGCAGCAACGCAATGTCAACGGAATTGAATTTCAAGAGCGTATAATCGGTGTAGAAATATTTTAGACATACGCTAGTACTTAAGTATTGAATATATTATATTTCAGTAAAGGTCGTGTTTTGAATAGAATATTGAATATGTAAGCACACATATAAACACCAAGCTGCCAAAAAGTTTGCATTAAATGAGTGCTGATTTGTGCTGAATCACTGACGATCTTCGTATTTTTAATTTTGTGGTATATTTTTTAGTTTATTTAATATATTTTTTTGTTTAAGAAGAAAATTTTATTAAAATTATTTAAATTTGTTCGTGAGTGAGTAGCAGTTGAGTTTATCATTAACAGAAGATTATATCAAGCATAAAAGTGGCGCTGAATTGTTCGTAGATACGCTGAAATACCGTAAAATACAAATCTTTTTATTATCAGCACGTTTCAGTAACCATTAACTTAAAAAAGTAATGCTGAATTGAGCTGAATGGAGCTGAATAGCAACGAATTTCTCTAAAAGTTCTAGAGATGTAACGGTAGACAATAAAAACTGAAGTTTTAAGGCTTTCAATAGCATATTGAATATGAAATATAAAAGCACTAAATATAATGTTTGGTTTTTATTAACTTGTGGTGAAGAGTGATCAAAATACTGCTCAAATAGGCTGACTAAAAAAGGGAATTCATAAAATGTTCACACATACTCATTTCGGTCCAATGGAATCCAAGAATCCAATAAAAGGCAAAGGCTTATAAATTATTTATAAATGAAACCTTTTATTTAAAATAATTAAACTGTTATTGACAATGTAATCTTCTCTTGCCAAGAAAATAATATTTGTAGAGCATAAAGTTTCTCGAAAAAATATTTCTAATCCTATTCGATTGATATTGCAGAGCTTAAAAGCGCTGAATAATATTTCAATTATATGGAAGCATTAAATATGGTGTAACTGCTGTTTCAAAACTTATACCGCTGAGTATTTAGGGTAGTAAAATGCAAATCTCAATCCCATTCGACTTATTTTGATGCGCTGAATAGCGCTGAATTATCCAGAATTGCGCTGAATAACGTTCAAAGTACCTGTGTGCACTGAATATGAAATATCCGCTATTTCCAAACTTATTTTACTATATTATATTGATGATATTTAGAGCAACTTAGTGCTTTATACCGGAAACTATTTTCAAATTTATCTCTTTTATGAGTTTTTACATACTTGTATGTAATTAATTTAAGCAAAAGCAATTTCACTAAATCTTTCAATTTCCCATTTTGATTCGCTTCATTCCAGGTATACGACGAGCGAAATTCCTGACTAAACCGCTGCCACCGGAGATCAGCACATTAGTAGCCGGCGAGCGCGATTTAACCTGCCGACATGATTTATTATTACAACAAAGCAGTGCCAGTAGTGCTAGCAGCTATGTAAACAATGCAACTACAACACCAACACAATCGACAATGTATGCTGGCACAACAACAACAGCAACATCGAATGCATCAAACGCAACAACGATTGCAATGTTGACAGCCGGATTGACAGCAACAGCGGCGGCATGTAGCGGTAATCCACCAACAACAACAGCAGCAGCAACAGCCAACAACACACAAATGGGCGCATTAATGTCCGGCACATCGTCCATGGTCGGTTCGAATGCCACTGTCGATATAATGGAGGATGAAGAAGAGCACGAACAACAACGATTGGGGTAAACTGAAAATCTGATTGTGTTATTATTTTTGTTGCATTTTGTTTCTTTTTGTGTTTCTGTTTGGTATGTTATGTATTTTTAAATGTGTATTTCGTATTTGATTGCGTATTTTGTGATGTCTTCTTTGTATTTTGAGAAATGCAATTCGCTGAATTAAGCTGAATGACATTGAAAAGCGCTGAATTTTGCTGAAATGCTCGAAATGCAGAAAGAATATTAATTTAAAGTGAGCTGAATAACATTGAAATGCGCTGAATTGCGCTGAAATGCAAGGAATGTAGACAAAGTATGGTTTGATAGTCGCGAAAAAATAACATTGTTTACTTCAGGTTATGCTTTTTACTGGAAATTAATTTCTTTACTATGATTCTACGGTCATATTCTTTCACATACTGCTTTTAATTTTGTAAATTTTTACCAAAAATCTTTTAAATACAATTTGCTCAATGATGCCAAACCATATTGAGAAGCGCTGAATAACGTTAAATAGCACTGAAATGCAATGAATGTGGGCAAAAGATGTTAAATACGATTCACTGCATGAAGTCGAACCATATTGAAAAGAGCTGAATTACGCTGAATTGCGCTGAAATGCAAGCACTGTTTGAAAAAGCTGTGTTTTAAGTATTAAACTACTAGCTTACAATATTTTGCGGTACAGCTTATAAATGAAAGTTTTTTTTATATATTCCTGCTGTGCTCTATCCTATTTTACTGCCTTTTTATATATTATATTAATTTTTTATGTGGTAAATTTTATATAATTGTTAAATACAATGTACTAAATTAAGTGAAATAACGCTAAGAAGCGCTGAATTAAACTTAATGACGTTATAAAGCGCTGACTTGCACTGTATTGCGATAAATGCAGACAACATGTTGTTTTAAAGTATCGTACTAATTTAATTTATTTTATGACATCTTTCTGTAATGAAAGTAATTTTTTTTATAATCATTCTCTGTTGTTATCCCTTTCTACGCTGCTTAGCTGTAAATTCCTTTTGACTTTTCTATATATTTGTTTAACTGAACCCTTCGCAAAGCCAATGACTCTTAATGGAGCTACTAACGCGACGTAACGCCCACAAATAGCTAAAAACATAAAAAATACACAACACCAAAATCCGCTAGAATGAGAGGAGCCTTGAAAGCATAAAAAAAAGGTTTCACGGAACTACAAAATAAGCGCACAAATTGTTTTGGCAAATTTTCCTGCCCTTTAACCACCAAATAAAAAGAGTGAAACCTCCAGCAAAGTCAAGACAGCACAACAACCTCAGGGTAAATGGCAACACATCAATAATCAAACAAAAATATTCAGCACTACGTGTACATATTTATAAATGGATATACACACACAAAGATATTTATACATGTAGTTCAACGCCCATGCAAATTGGAATGCTTGTCCTTTTTCCAGCTGGTTTGGCAACGAAGGAGTTGGAAGTGGAATTAAAATAAAATGCAATCCCACAGTATACATGTATATACATATATATCGTATGTATATACTTATTTACATTCATGTGTATCATATATATGTGAGTAGGTGGCGTATGTAGGCAAATATATCTTCCATATATCGTTTGGTAAGCTCGGCGCTCTTCCTATTTGTCTTAATGACAGTGGTGGAATGTTTACCCGGCCGAGTAGTGTTTGTCAACGGCGTTCCTTTTTCCGGCAGTTTTTTGCACTTTTCGCTGCCGCTTCGACGTCGATTTATTTTTTTTATTTTGCTCGCTGTTATTCAGTTTTTCTCGCTCGGTATTTTCGGCATTTTCCTTTTCGTTTACAATCTCTTCCGGTTTCCTCGACACGAACTCTTCCATGTTCAGCAGACAACTTGATTTATAAAGTGGCATACCAACTGTGGGTTGCTTGATGTTTCCTACCGCCGTTTTTACTATAAATACTTTCACATACTAAAACTATTATTCAGCGGCTAACGGTAGGGCTGTTTTGTATAAAAAGATGTATAGGAAAACAATTACTTATGATAATTCTATGGACTTTATATGAATTTTTTAAAACAAATGGACAAATTTTGTTTCAAAATGTAAAAACGTATGTATATGAGAACGCGCTGAATAGCTGAAAAATAAATTCAAAAGTCCACGTAGTTTCAAACTATATCATGCATTTCCAAACTAAATTTCTGATACTAATTTGATATATTTAAATGTGCTGAATAGCACAGTTTTGTTTTAGCTAAATTCATTATGCTACACTTAATTAATGTTTGTAGATTTTTCATTTATATTTGAATTTTGTGAATAATAAAAATGTACACTCAAATACTATTATTACTATAGAAAAAGGTTTGTGATCTAGAATGCAATAAATGTGCTAAATAGTGCATCAAACTATAAGTGCTGAATATACGAAAATATGCGCTGAATAACACACAAATTATTTAAAATTATACAATTTGGATCAAATATATTGCTGAATATATGCGCTGAATAACAAAAGAAATATTTGTGCTTTTAAGGTTTTCATAAAACATTTCGCTGAATTACTATATACAGTTTCACAAATTCAGCAGTCGTTTTGTTTTTTGTCGCGAAAACAAAAATATTTTTTTTGCTTAGCCTGAGGGTAAAATTTGTAGATTATAAAAAAAGAAAACTTCTGGAAAAAATTTTTTTATTTAACATCTAGAGGCGGCCCACTCACTGTTAAAGTAAATTTCGAGATTAAATTTTTTTGGGACAAACAAAATTTTTTTAGGTTTAAGACTTTTTGTAAAACTCCAATAATGAACACAAAATATTTTTGTAAGTTGATAACTTTTAATTGGGCAGAAAGAGGACTCTCCACAGCTTCTAGAACACTTATCAAACATTTTTTGAGAAATAAAAATTTTTACTCGAAACTTTACTTTAAAATTTTTTTTTTTAATCTGCAAATTTGACCCTAAGGCTGAGCAAAAAAAAATTTTTTTTCGCTTCACCCCAATATACATACATATACATATATAACTATAGATCTATCTATCTATGTGTAGATATATTTTAAATTATTTTGGACTTCCAAAAACCGTAAAATTATATCGATTATCAACAAAGGATAAAGACGGAAAAGGACATATAATTTTGCTTGTACGTCACCTACTAAGTACTTAGTACAAATTATTGAAATTGCTGAATTGCGCTGACTATGAATCGCACATACTAAAAGCGAACCAATTCAGGGTTCAGGGGATTATGCAAAGTTTTATGCTTATAATAATCGTGTGTATATCTCTTGTATAATCGTAATACTAATCACAAAATGCAGTTAGAATTAACTTTTTTTTAATTTAAATTAGCGAATTTGCAAGTAAATCATTAATAAATGTATGTGAGAGGTATTAATGATGCGCTAAATATCCGCTGAACTTATTCATATGTAGCTGAATTGCGCTGAATTCTTTGAAATTCAACTATTTTTGGTATAAGGTCATTAAAAACCACTTTTTGTAAAGCATAACTAATTCAAATATTATTTTTCTTTCTCAAATTGAGTTAATCATTACCGAAAACCCAAAAGCAATACAAAGACTAATTTGGGGTAATATCTTGTAACAGATATGTGATTGCTTGTACTCAGACATATTCAATAATATCGAAACGTCACTATATAAATCTTTCTAACCAGGCGTATACTCACTTACTCACTGCCACACAAGCCTTGCCAGCAATTTGTCAATGTTCAACGGCACTTTCACTTAGTAAAGTAATTCAATCTATAGAAATTCATGTGAGGCACACAAAAAAATCGTCGAAATATCTAAGCATCTAGTCGATTAATGTACGACATGATTGGCACAAATTGCTGATTGCTGGCAGACGCGACATTTGAAATGGATTTGGCATTGGAAATGAAAACGAAATAAGAAACGAACAGGTGTTGTACAACGCAAAGGAGTAAAGCAACATATAATGTTTTGCTCTAAAGGAGTAAAGTTCTAGTACACGATTGCTTGCGGAGACTATTGAACCCTTCGTGCTAGACATTCGTAACATCAAATAAGCACGAACTGCAATAAAGAGCGCTGACAGGTGTGTAAAGAAGAGCGCAGATATTGAAGATTTAAGTGATTAACCGTTAGACATCACTGTGCACTCACACTTAATGGCGTTGACCTTAATTACGGTGCGTTGGGGTGTAAACGAACAAAAACTGACGACAATATTTATTTACAAATACATTAAATGGGCTTCATTGTTTTTGTTTAACAGGTGTCAACTGACGAAGCGTTGAAGTCAATTGAAAAACAATATAATAGCGTTGTTTGTGTATACGGAAAGGTAGGGACATTGAGTTATATGTGTGAATGGAATTTACGTGGAGTTTGGATTTTTATGAAAAAGGGTTACTAAAAAGTTAAATTTAAACAAGAAGTATAATGAAAAGACGGACGGTAAGAGTTTGAAATATTTTTTTGTTTTGTTTTTTGGCTAAGCTAAAATATCTCTTAATATCTGATCGAATTTGAGCCGGATTTGCAAACAAAAGCTGTTCATATATTCCAATCTTTATTATCGGCTTCAAAGCAGGCTCCTAAGTCATTACAAGCAAGTCAGCGCGCCAAATTTCCATACACTAGTTATAAGCCTCATTTTTGTATTGCCATACGCATGATTTTTGGATAGTTTGCGCGCCACATTTATAACCTCACGTCTGGTCATCAATAATGATGCATTGATGAATGCCTGGTCCTCAACAACGTTGCCAAGCATCTCTTTTGCGAACTCTACTCGAGTTCTTTTCGCACGAGCCTATCATTGACATGCTTCATACCCAAAACATTAACCAAATTCATATCGATACATAAAAGATTTTGAAATGCTCTGCTATCTCTGTGATGTCACTCAAGCATTTTTTGATGATATCATAATTGACAGATGTGGATGGACGACAGATAAGTTTTGAGGCAATTTTTCGATGCTTTCACGAACTTCAATAAACCTTTTGAGCGTCTGCAATACTTTTGTTCATGATAAAGTAAAGTG